GTTCTTCAGTCTTCATGGTGTGGTTCTATCCAGGAGTTCTGATCCACCAGTGACTGGACCTTCCAGATGCACCAGTCTTTATGCTACAATCACTGACCTCAGATGATGCATTCACTGACTGTGGGACTTCTGGCAGCGACTTGCTGCAGCTGACTTACGTTACTACATTGACTAAGGAGAAGCTTCCTGGTGCTACCTGTCTGTCCACTGGTGTCCTGCTCAGGTTTCATTCTTGGGTTTTCTCGTCTCTCTGTGCATTAGTTTAAGTTGTAACAGTGGAAACATGAGAGCTGCTCTATTTTAAGGCGCTGGCTGATGAGACATTACCGAAGAAGCACTCAGGAAATCATGAAGCGTGAAGCAGGAAATTTACCAGTGCTCGGCTACATTAGATAAAAACCAGGATAGCAGCCAGAGCTTCACCAGGAGCCTCTCTGGTCTGTTGTAGGAGCAGAACCAGCAGCACAGAAGTTTGGATTTTCAAACCAGAACTTAGTTCACTCAGCAGCTTTTAAACGGACCTCCGTGATACTGGGGTTCTGATCGGGATGAATCAGAGCAGGTCCGGTTATCTAGTCACGCTGCGTCTGAAAAACAAACTCCAAACCTGGAACCAAAACTACACTGAAGAACATCAGATAATCCCCAGATTTAAGCTGAGTTTCATGTTCTTAGTGACTTTCTTGCTATATTTGGTGACAATAAAACACTTTAAGTGACTTTTTAAAAGCACCTTGAACAGAAATAAAGCTTCTGTTGTGTTATTATATTCTATATAAACCTCTGCTTGACCGTCTCAGATTTGCTTAAAACTATTTTTTTTAAAAATCGACCCACTTTCAGCTGTTTTTTTTTCTGAAATCTGAGTCTGTTTGAACAACAACATCTGAGGAACTATTCAAGATCAAAACCTGAAACTTTCTCTGTTATTTCTCATCATGTCACTGATCCAGAATCTGTGATGTTGGACAGTAGATCAGATAATCTCTGATTATGGGGGAGTTGGAAAAAACATTGAAGTTGTCATGAAAATCTCCATCTTTGAGCTCAAATTAGCAATAAAACTGATGATCCAGAAGTCAACCAGGGATGTTTTCTGAACCACATGAAGCTTCAGGTCACAATCATACAAAACTACACATGTAGGATAGTTTAATATGAAATAATTGGTCAGGAAGTCAAAAGAAAAAGTGTTTTTGTTGATCGTTCATAACTGATCTGAGCAGGTTTGACAAGTTTTAGCACAAAAACAAAACTATCAGTAGATGGTCTGATCCACTGGTTCCAGAATGGTTCTCAGAATAACCTGACGTGAAATAAGAGAAAAGTTTCAGGTTTTTATCGTCAATAGTTCTTCAGATGTTGTTCAATTAGATTAAAATGCTGCTGAAAGTGGGTCGACGGGTGATAAGTGTTTGATATATTGACCTATAATTTCCCAAAATCAAAACATATTTTATAATAAAAATCGTTTCAAACGCATCAGAGACGGAGGAGCAGAGCTGCTGCTGCTGCTGCTGCTGATGGGAGATGCAATAAAGCTGCAGATGTTTCAGTTGTTTATACCTGCCGGCTGAAACACTCACCGTTTTCTAGTCCACTTGTACTTTGAGCGCTCAAACAGAAGAGTGAGATCAGCAGCAGCCAAGCGGTCATTATAATCCCTGTTGTTGTTGTTGGTCCTCGATGGATCAACTCCCCCATGGCTTCATGTGATCAGGTGAGACGATAAACATCAGCTCCAGCCGGTGATCTGTACCTGAGCTGTTAGAAGGGAAACAGTCACTGGCAGGAGGAGGTCGGACCGGGATCAGGAGTAGAACGGAAGAAGGCTTCAGGTTACTCCCTCCAGTCCACACTGAGTTCATGGTGGTTGTGAAATCCATGAGGAGGAAACACAGCAGCCGCATTCTGGTAAGTCTGAGTCACTGCCAGATCGGACATGCCTGAGCCGTACTCGCTGCTTTCATGCTTGGAAATACGTTTCCAAAAAGTGCACTGTAAAAAAAAAAGGGAAAAAAGTCTGTCATTCTGCAGAGTCAGCACTTTTAATTTGAAAGGTTTGTACAGATTTCCTGAAGCAGACGGTTGGTTTGACTGGACGTGATCGAACAAATACCAGTGACAGTTTAAAACTTTTAAACTCTGTATTTTTTACAGCGCGCATCATGTTTCATTCACGTTACGTCACAGATGGATTTATGGCCGTAATAACGACAGTTTCTCATCTACGGAGGCCCGATGAGGCCAAAATTGGATGTAAACAAACACAAACTAAATATGCAAAAAACATAAAAGTTGTAAAAAATAAATATTTCTTAACTTCTCAGTAGTATAAATAATTTCATGCTTCTTTTTTATTTAATTGCAGCAGTTTTATTTTAAAACGCGGACTTTCTAAAGTCTGTTTGTGCCGTACGGAAGGTGACTTATATTAAAACTACATAAAAACAAAGACAATCAGAATCACGTCTTGGATTTATTTCTACATTTTTATTTGTTTAACTTTTATCAAGACTCTATATTTCTTTATGTATTGTTTTGCACTTTATTTCTGTATTTCTGCTTGTATTTTATTATTTCTGCATTTGATTTTTTCTGTATTTCTACGTGTCTTTATGCATTTCTTTATTTCTACATTTATTCCAGCATTTCCAAATGTTTTTATTTACTATTTCTGCATTAGTTTATTCCTGCATTTCTACATTTACTAGTTTATTCTTTGTATTTTTACATGGATTTGTTTGTGCACAATTTGTTTCTTTCTGCATCTGCCCATTTA